ATCAAGAATCCCAATGTACAGGGCATCCTTTTGCTAAGAGACCTTATAGATTAAAATTCTCCAAGTCCGGTCCTGGAATATGACTGCATTTTCTATTTTAGAAAATTGGCTCTGCTTAGTAGACTCATAGATTGAATCTATGGTAGACTGAAGTGTATAAAGTTTCGGGGAAATTGATCAAACGATTGGAAAGATAAAAGGATGAATCAATTATGGCTAAAAAAATGTATCTCGCGACACTGCGTATCTTGGTGATTACGTCGACTTGACTATTGTATATACCTATCCATTTTTTCATGACAGAGGTACCGTATGTCCTATGTAAACCATAGTACAGTGGCTTGTGAATCGCCCTCTGTATAAGTTTTTTTTTTCAACTCGTTTGAGCCATAAGTATGTGGTTTATTACTAGTGATTCACACGAGACCAACGAGACGAGACTTTCATATAGTCTCGTCTCGTCTCGCGGATGAAATATGAAGTCTTGTCTCGAGTCTCGTCTCGCACCCTCGAGTCTCGTCTTGTCTCGCGTCTCGTACGAGAGTCTCGCAAATGTATCGCATTTCTACATGCATAATCTTGTTCCAGTCTAGTATAGGTATAGGTATAATGTAGAAGTAGGCAGAGAAAATAACAACAAAAATAACATTTTTTTAAAAGGAACATTCTCAGATATATTTATGGACAGAAAAAATGGATATATATTTATATAAAGAAATACATTGAGAATTCGCATTCTCCATGTGATGAAAATATTAATTCTTGCTCGGTTTATTCAAAAGAAAACAACTACTTTCCTGGCTATATGCCACGACGAATATTGAATTACATCTATTGAACATACACGATAAGAATTTGAAAACGAAATCTTTTGAAGTAGAGAATTTGCATTCTCCTTTATATAAAGATATGCATATAATGTAATTCTGAATATTCAACAGAAAACAACTACTTTCCTGGCTATTTTCTACGTCGAACATTGAATTATATTGAACTTGAACGATGAAAACTTTTATAGACCTCAATTGCAGATTCGTGATTAGGTTTTTCTCAATTCAGAATTTTTTTCCACGTCCTGTATGATGAATTTCAATTTATCATACATCCTAAAAATAAATGTTTTTATTGAAAAGTAAGTACCTAATAGGTACATACTTACATCTTATACATCTAAACAAGAGAAAAAACATAGCATTATATATTCGAAAGTTATGAAAATAAAATAAAGTGTTTTGTCTATCTGTGCGAAATAGTCTGAATTCTTTCTAAATATGTTGTATTATGAATGAAATTCTCAAGTCTGCAGTCGGCACGCAGAAATATTTACCTGCGAGACTCTCGCACGAGACACGAGAAGTCTTGCACGAGACTCGAGACGAGACCAATAAAAGTCTCGTCTCGTATTGTCCGAGTCTCGTCTCGAGTCTTGTCTCGAAAACGAGACGAGACCATGCGAGACTCTCGAAAACGAGACTCTCGCGGGCACCACTATTTATTACCTAAAGAAAATATGGATCTAAAATTCTATTAACTGTATACCATCGACAATGAGACGACAAGCCCATTTGATACTGGCTTTTTCAAAATTTGGTGTCCAAGGATGAACACTGTACCTACTGTACATCTAAAGTGGTGACCATGGGTCATCCAATGGACGGCTACTTGCTAAACGTCCAACATGTTCGATCATTAGACGTTCTGAAGAACTAAATGGACTTTAGTACCTATAATTGTTTAACGAGCACGGAATGATAGTGATTTCCAACCCACATAGCACAATGTCATTCATAGAACGTTCATATGATACAAATATTCCAGGGATGTTTCATGAACATTCGGAATGGTCTGGTTCAAATATTCTGAGGATATTCCCGGTGTATTGAAAGAGGAAGAAGAATATTTAAAAAAGCCTGCTCTGGTGGAGATGCGATACTATCTTGTGATTGAATTTTTACGAACCAGAAATCGCCACGAACCTTATTATTAAAAAATTAATAGCAAGATGGCAACACTGAATTAGTGGAATAATCAGCATTGCTGAGGCTATAGAGAATAATAGGTTGTGTCAGGGTGAACATTATAAGTAGTGATACAATATCATTTATTTTGATACGATTCTGAATATTGAAGAATAATATTCCCAGAACATTCAAAACGAATATTCTAAGAATAAATCGGATTGAATGTCTATAGAATATTCGCTGCAGGATGAGAATATTTCATGATCATTTTGAGAACATTTTATAAGAATATTCTGAAATAAGTTTATTTGAACGTTGTCAGAATATTCATAGAATTTTCTGTGCTGTTAGGGTACGAGAATGAAGTTTGAAGCATGAGCCATAGGCGACTGCTGCAATCATTAGAGTAGTAAATTAGCATTCCGTGCAAGTTTTACACTATAATTTGTCTACGGCTATGAAAGATAACAGAGGCATTTTCGATTGCTTCGTCTTGTAGCCATCTGATTTCCTGTCAAGTAATGCTTATATATTAGACAGAGCTGTCATTGCTTGAAATTCGATATTCCATGGGCGATGAGTTTTTTTTTATAATAACACAATAATATGGAGTCATTGTGATATCAGATACGGAAATAAAATTGATGACATACAAAGTACCTCATTGATGTATCGAACACAGTAAATTTTGTGTTATAGCCGGCAAAAACGTACATTGTTTGTACCTACATTGGACATGCATATTCATGTTCTGTGCATATGAGCTTGAATACTGTTGATGAAACCATGATGTAAAATCTGCCGTTGAGACATTACATATGAATTAGATCTATGACCTATTATGTGTGGAAACATGGAAGAATCATTGTATTTTGTATTGAGCCAATTGAGGATTGAGTTTCTTACGATTTATTGAATGCAGTTCGCGAGCGTCATCTATTAGACTCTCTGTGGACTGGTCGTTGATTCGATCAATTCGAAGTAGGTGCCACTACCGTTAGGCAAGCGAACCAATAACAAAGAATAGTAGGTTCCCTCTCCTCTTTGCCAATAACTCTTATTATACCTAGCTGTCTGTAAGCTGTAAATTGCTCTGGTCAAGTTTGCACAGCAGTACCAGTAACAGCACAGAGCTTCTCTAGTTCTGCTCTAGGAGGTGCTCTTTTTACGCAATACCCTTGTGCAGAGATTATGCCTTGTGCGAAGCAAAAATCTTTTATTCATCGGCTGTTATATAACACTACGTGACTAGAAAATAGGAAAAGAGAAGGTTTAGCATTAGATTTAACATGCTTGATCTGACAAACAAACGCGCAGAGGACAACTAACTGGCGCCCTCTATTTAAAATCTTTCAAAATTAGTAGTAGCAACCTGTTAAAACTGAATTTTTTTTCAATCCTTATTATCTTGAATTTTTGCCCTCTGATGGAGGAAATTTTCGTCAATCCATAGATAATAATAAATGATAAGGACAGAAAAAGCATCCACGATTTGCTGTGTTCCCTCTACTTATTTCCATCATTCCAATTTCCATCATTGTTCTCACTTCTCAGCAGTGAAATCATATTGCCCTCTCCACCTCCTCGTTCTCTGGCAGACAATTCAGACAAATGACAAATTTATTGAAGTCAAGGCGCGTTCACATGCTGTAGAGATTATACACTCCCCTCATTCATACTGGCTTTTCGCTTTTTGGCTTAGAGCGTATCCTCATTCCTCATCTCATTGGCCGATTTGTCAGAAAACGCCTATCAAGGTGATGCAGCTAGAAATACGCCAGAACGACAGTAAAAAATACAAAATTACTGCTATAAGTATGCTATATCATCATAATATCCTTGATTATAATATACAGTTTGGGAGAGAGTGAATGGTGTTAAGAAATAATAGCACAAGTAAAAAAAATGGTTTCTAGTGGTATTAGAGTCCCTTGATGGAAATTGACGTTATTTCCATCAAGGGACCCTAGCACAGATTAACTGTGACCCTAGTGGATTGTACCTGGAACTCCTGAAAGTCAACTGAATACTGAATGTGACAATCACTGTCATGCGCCGTTCACAACCAAAGTTTTCACGTTTTGCTTTTTACGTTTCGTATTCTGATTGGTGAAGCAAAATTTGAAATTGAAATGACGCAAAAAGCGGAAAATATCCAGCTTTTTTCGTTGCAAGAAGCCATCGAAGCCATCGTCTGTGAAAATAGTAAAAATAGATAAATGATATATTGTTATAAAAATGGAAATTGAAAGTTCTGATTCGAATGATTTTTTCGTGAATGCAGGGAATCGTAGATAGGTAATATACTGTTCAATTCATCATTTTCTTCTTGAGGATTGATTTTTCTCTTCAAGTATTGAATGATAATCAATTTACGTCACTGCCAGTTATTATATATATGAATATTATTAAATATCTAATCAATATTATTGTTATGATTATTTCACTTCATTTCAGGATGAAACACAAATGATAAACCAAGGCAACTGGGAAGAGCCGTAAAGAGTCACGTTGATTATTTGGTTGGGAATGACATTTGTTCCAGATTCTGTTTCACCAATCAGAATACGAAATGTGAGAAGCAACACGTAGAAGGTTTGGCTGTGAACGCCGCTTAACAATGAGCCCGTTCAAGCGTTCTTGGCAACTTGGCATGTGAACGCGCCATCCATAGACAAACCAGGACAAACCCATCAGACGCTCAAGTCATGCGCATCGCATACATGAAAATAGTGTCAATTGTCAAAGTCAAAACTGTCAAATCGAAAAAAATATATAATTATTTATTTATTGTAAATGGGCCATAACAATAAAATTCATGAACTGAACATTTCTGCCTAATAGATAAACAACTCAAAACATTATTATATTAGAAGATTTAAAATTCGTGACATGAAAATTAGATCTTAGGAACCATATCATGATTTCTTCTCAGCATATTGTTCTAGTTTATTTGATGACAGACAAGGACAATATGGTAGTATTATAGGATTATAACAATAATATTTGGAAACAGAAATATGGAATAAATATGTTAACATGGAATCGATCCGAAAGTGGTTATATAAACCTAAGGTATGTTGAATTTTTTATATTATCTTCTCTGTAACAACTCCAGGAAAAAAGTTGTTCAATGTCCATACATGTTCATATTTTCACTATCAACCTATTTCAAATTCAATAACCTTTTCAGAATAGTGGGAAATATGTACCTACTCTCTTCTTCCATTGAGTTTCCTCTGACTTTGAGGTTTTCCAATAGAAATATTTCCAAATAGTGGAAATGTGAACAACTCATTATCTGATTGTAGGTAGGTACAACTTGACCAAACTAGCTATGCCCTTGTGTGCCTTTGATTAATAATATTTAAGCAAATGTTTTTGTTACAAATTAAGCCTTGCTGTTGATTCTTTCTTGAGTTGTTCCTTGTAGAGGCGAAGCTGTACTCAACAGTCTTCATCAGTAAATCATTACTCACCTCTTGACTTACCATTATTTGAATCCATTATTCCTGAATCTAAATCTAAACTACCCTTTCATTTTTAATTGCAAAGCATTCTTGATAGTAATTGCTAAAATAGATAGTCAAGTTAAAATTTGATTAATTCAATTTGATATAAATTCAAGGCATCTACAGTGGTATCTACCTATCAAAATATCTGTGGAAGTGTTCAAATGATAATCATCAAGGGAGGAATTCCTGACCAAAATGTTTCACACTAGTTTTCTCATTTTATATACCTCCTCAAATTTCATGGGAAGTACACTGGACACCTGATACTTCCTATCCTGTGCTATTGATGTAAGGTCAAAGAAATCAATTATACCATGATGTTCTTGTGTGTATTAATGCACCTTACCCCGAGGGGTAAATCTCCTTGGAAGTCTGGTGTACACTCCGTTGGAAGTCTTTGGAAGTCTTTGGAATTCTTTGAGATTCTTTGGATGTCTTTGGAAGTTTTTGGATGTCTTTGGAAGTCTTTGGGTGTCTTTGGGAGTCTTTGGAAGTCTTTGGGAGTCTTTGAAAGTCTTTGGGAGTCTTTGGAAGTCTTGGGAAGTCTTTGGAAGTCTTTGGTCATTGGAAGTCTGGTGTACACATTTTTCCTGGAGATTTACCCTTACCCTTGCCATTTTAGATTTAAAAACGTTCTGGGCGGAACTGAAAGAAGTCTTCTTCTTCGTTTGGGTGCAAACTCCCGCAAATGTTGAACCCAATTGAAATAATCTAGTCCAAAATAAAGTGTCACATAAGAGTAAGCTTTTGGGTTTTTTATATTTATTTAACATTTCATTCCACTTTGAGCATTCTGGCTATTTCGTGGTTGAAATTACGCCAGTCAGACAACCAGCCACTCCCGTATGGGAATTTGGTTTTGGAGTGTTTTTTTCCTCATTTGCACTCAAGATGGCGTTGCTCTCATATTATATATGGAGACGCCTCTGAGGGAATATAATGCCGACTTGATTTTCGTTTGGCTAGGCGACGCATAGTCGGCGATCTTGAGACTGCTGGTTGGAGACTGCCCTGCACTGATGAAAGTCAAAGAGCTCGAAACCGGTCTGTAGGTGTCTAGCGTGGTCTGGCTAAATGGAACTCAATAGGCATTCAGGAAGGAATCATTTGTATCAGTATTCATTTATAGGGTTGATCGAGGGGTCGATGAATAGATTTCGGGAGGATGTAATTCAGTGTTCTACGTGGCATAAGCCAGGAAAGTAGTTGTTTTGCTCCTGAAATCTACCATTGTTGTTCATTTTATGAACATTGTGAGGAGATGACTTTGAGCTTTTTGTATTTATATAAAAGTAAATCTTCGAGTTTCAACCACAAGTTGAAGGTCAGGGTGTTGCAGAACAACGACTTGTGTATCTTGAACAGAATATTGACCAGGCCAAAGATACAATTGTTAGAGGTAATTGTGCTTATGGCTGCACAACATACCACCATTCGCCACTCTGGTATTTTAAATATAAAATATTGATGTTCCATAATAAACCATTCATTGTTCTCTGTATTCTCTACCCTTGAGTACATGGCAGTTTCTGAATTACAAGTGATGCTTTCTGAATTAGGGTTGCCAGTTTTGCTGAATTTTCAGTAGATCTCCTGATTTGCATATTGATCTAAACTATTTACTTACCAGATGAAGTGGGACAGCCAAAAAATTGAATAATTTTGATAAGCTATAACTCGAACATTTCTTGGCCGATGTTGGATTTTCAACCAAAGGTAGAAAGCGTCATCCTTCGGCTATGCGTCATTGGCGTCGGGTTTTCATTTTTGCGATTCGTTCTCTTTGTACAGGGTGTGAATTAAGAGCCGGAAAAATTTCAAATGTTTGACCAATGATTTGGGAAAAGTGAGGGACCCTAGAATTCTCTTTTAGATGTTGGGTGAATGGTTGGTCCGATACCTCGAGACATCTTTGAAATTTTTTTGATAAATTGCGTTGCTATGGAGAAATCGCCAATCGAAATTTCGTTTTCATTTTAAAATGTGGCCTCTTTTTGTTGAACAATAACAGCGAACATCTTAACGTGAACGAAGGATATTTCTACTGAAGAAAATTCACACCAGTGGCGTGCAAAAAAGGGTTTATGATATTTAGAAACGAAAAATTCGTTTTTATTGAAAGACTCCAACAGTTTTATTGATCGTTACAGTTGAAGAGGTATCATATCCTTAATTAGCATGATGTTGACAAATTCAGAGGTGCGCAAAAAGGAGTTTATGATATTTAGAAACGACAAAAACTTTCTATTGAAAAACATCAACAAGATTTTTTGAAATTTGTTCTGACAAAATTATCAAATTGTACGGCTTGGAAAACATCAGAAGCGAGATCAGAAGCCAGAATTACGTTCCTGAATTTTCATTCATGAATAATGATACAAGAAAATTTTCACTGGGGAACAAAGAACAACACTTGATTAAATTATTAAAAATGTTTCCATACCAAACTTTTTGAATCGCCCTGATGATGGATCCTCTTTAATACGCCAATGGATTACTTGGATGCTCACCTTGGATAAGTAATAAAACAATGATAATGAGACTGAAATTCTGATTTTCCAATTTTGCACGCCTCTGAATTTGTCAACATCATGCTAATTGAATGTATGTCAACTTTTTAACTGTGACGATCAATGAAACTGTTGATTTTTTTCAATAAGAACGTTTTTGTCGTTTCTGAATATCATGAACCCTTTTTTTTGCGCGCCTCTGAATTTGTTAACAACATGCTAATTAAGGATATGGCACCTCTTCAACTGTAGCGATCAATAAAACTGTTGAATTTTTTCAATACAAACGAATTTTCCGTTTCTAAATATCATTATCCCCCTTTTGCGCGCCACTGGTGTTAATTATCTTCAGTAGAAATATCCCTTGCTTCAGTTTAGATGTTGGCTGTTATTGTTTAACTAAAAGAGGCCATTTTTCAAATTAAAAATGAAATTTCATAAAATGGTGATTTTTCCATAGCAACGCAATTAATCCAAAAAATTTCAAAGACGTCTCGAGGTATCGGACCAACCATTCACCCAACATCTGAAAGATAATTCTAGGGTCCCCCACATTTCCCAAATTATTGGTAAAAAAATTTAAAATTTTTACGGCTCTTAATTCACACTCTGTACAAAGAGAACGAATCGAAAAATAAAAACCCGACGCCAATGATGCATAGCCCATGGATGTCGCTTTCTACCTTTGGTTGGAAATCCAACATCGGCCAAGAAATTTTCGAGTTATAGCATATCAAAATTAGACAATTTTTTGGCTGTCCCACTTCATCTGGTAAGTAGTTTACTTATCTACTGAAACAGTTCATAATCTACTGACAATTATTCTGACACTCATTCATTATTATAATTACCTATATTATTATTAATCTTTTGTTAAACACATACACTTATAAATTGCATGATATTTCGGGACGCTCTGTTTGTTGTTACAAAATGAGTGATAAATATAAATATATATAGGTACTAATGATATGTATAAACCAAAAAAAGACAATACTTTATCTGAATCAGATCAAATTCAATTTTTCACATACCTCTGTTATAACAGTTTGTTTCTCACTTTTATTTGTTTTATTGGTTTTGTATTTTTGTTGTTGATTTTTACTATTCGTTCCTGTTTTTTATATTCTCAAATCTTATAAATACCTATGTTACTGTATTCTGTGATATTTGTGAGTACTTTTGAATTGAGAATCAGGAATATGATTATTTTTGTATGAGAATATTCGTTTTGTTTGTTTCTATTTTGTTGGAAACAAATTGCCTTTCTGTTTATCAAAAGTACCTACATAATGTTTTGATGTCATAGGTTTATTTCATTATCCGTTCTTGGAATTCGTTTAGCATAAAATAGATATAAAATAGATATTAACAGATTTATTCAAATATATTGAATTTTTGACAAAGTATCGAACTGGCAAATCTTGGTCCGCGCAGAGAGCGAGTTGACAACAACTGTCATTCGCTGTTGTCGATAGGACCGTTATGCGTTTCAGGTCGACGAAAAAATGTAATATGCACCTCCGCGAAAAACTGTCTTGTCTCGCCTGATTGCTAGCCTCGGCTATTAATTTACAGACTCGACTATAATAGACAGTGTTTCGTCCTTGGTACATAAATAACTATTGTATTAAAAATACTTGCGGCCACATTCCCATAATGATTAAATTTGATTTCAATCAAACAACATATGAACGTAGTAATCTTGCAGTATGATCTCGTACTATAATAACGAAATTAGACCTTTGAATCAATACACCAACAACCCCTATTTTTGCCAGAGAGATGACAAATCTCTGCTAGCCCAATTCTTCTACGCCGACGAGGACTTGAACATGGTGGCCAACGAGCTGGACAGTTTCGACGGCAGAAAGGACCCCGAGCGGTGCACCTCCTTGGTTAACCAGCTGCGCCAGGCCCAGGACAAGGTGCTGACCATCACCAATGCCGTCATGGACGCGTTGATCTGCGACGAGAGGGCCGACAGGGACTTCAGGGTCAAGTTTCCCGAGGATGTGCTGCAGGATAACCTGGCAGGGCAGCTGTGGTTCGGAGCAGAGGTCAGTACCATTATAGTTATTAACGGTACAGGGGCGATATGTAGCAAATAACGGATAAGCCGAGGATTATAACAACCGAATCGGTTTTCGGTTATTCGCGTATCGGCCGTATGTCGTTCAATACTTTATTTATAACCATATATGTAATGTTGTCATTACTAACGTCGTTGAAGGTTGGGAAGTGTCACATTACACACGTCTACTTCACGCCCTCACTTCCCGCCCCTCACTTCCCGCCCTCACTCATGTATTAATTCAGGTATGTTCAGAACGAAACATAGATTTATTAACTTTGATCGAAATATGATGGTTGTGTGTACAAACTTCGGTAGGAAGTTTCATTCCTGTCGTGAGATTAGTTAGTTAACCGAGACGCAAAGCATCGAGGTAAGCTATAATTAAACTTCCCACCTCGTGTGTAATATACTATTACGTATTCCGCTGAAAGATTACATTTTGATTTCGAGAAAAGATCAAATCACGTACCTCATAATATAATTCTGTCAGAAAAATCCCAACATCGTGTTGTCACGGAACAGCTTGACAATATCACAATAATATTATAAACAACGTCAGTTTTCTGTCTTCGCGAGTTTGCTTCAACAATGACCATGGATGAAATTGAAGAAATTGAGGAACAAAAACAAATTTCTTCAAAAATATTGAGAGAATCTCACGTGCAGCAAGTGTTGACTTACTGCCGAAAATAACTCAGGAGCGATATCAAAAAGAGTATGAAGATTTTGAAGAGTGGCGTAAAAGCCAGAATTTGAATATTGTTAATGAAGATATTTTATTAGCCTATACAAAAGGAAAATCAGAGGTTTATTCTCCTAACTCGCTGTGGACCAAGATTTCAATGTTGAAACTTGCTTTGAAAGTTTATGACAACATTGACATTTCAAGGTTAGTTATTTCAAATGGTTTACCATATCAGAGTATTACTTACAGAAATGATGTTTTCAGATTTGGAAAACTATTTTTGTTCTTGAGACAAAAGTCTGATGGATACACACCAAAGAAAGCAAAAATTTTGTCTGAAGAAGAACTAAGTTTTTGTTGGTGGCAGATGATCATACATGGTTGCTTGAAAAAGTTGTTTTGATGTGTGGTATTTTTGGCGCCTGTAGACGTGACGAACTTGTTAAGCTGACTGTGGATGATTTTGAAGGCACCAGTAACAGTTTTGGTTACATTGAGATATACTAAAAACAAGAAGAAGTGGGTATTTGTCATTCCCAAAGAAGGAGTTTCTTTTGGTGCCTATGGTTTATACCAAAAATACGTAGATTTGCGACCTTCAGATTTGGAAAATTGGCGATTCTTCATTGGTTATAGGAATGGAAAATGTGTAAAACAAGTTGTGGGCATTCATACTATTGGAGCTGTTCATAAGAAAATTGCAGCTTTCTTAAAATTGGAGAATCTTCAGCTCTACACAGGGCACTCGTTTGCTTGTAGAAAATGGTGGCGATCTACTACTACTACTACTATCGGTAAAAGAACTTGGAGGTTGGAACTCCTCTGCGGTGGCGGAGTCGTATATTGAAAATTCAGTTTCAAAGGGAATGAAGATAACGAGACAACTGTTTCATAGTAATGAGGCCACACCGACAACAAGTTCGAATACTGGTGCTATGGATGGTAAATCTCTCATCGATGGAATAGAAATTTCAAATAATAGAAATTGTCAAATTACTTTTCAAATTTATAAATAGTTGGCATTTTTAGAATTATCATTATTGTAAGCAGAATAAAGTTTTGAAACAAATATATGAACAAGTGATTTCTTAACGGCCGCCGGCCGTTAAACAATCTTAACGGACGGAGGCTGTTAACAGTAACTTTACAATTATCTTCTGAATACCGTTAAATCAAAATAACAGTATAGGATTACGAAAACTCTTTATCGGCCCGCTGCTGATAAAACCATGGGATATTTTATGGACCATGTGACCATATGGCCACATTATATTCAAAACCGTTCAGTTTTTACTTCCCCGTAGTTCTTCGATTCACAGGCAACGAAACCATTTGGTAAGAAACAAGCTTAGGAGGGGGTACACGAACAAATCGATTTCGCGCCATCTTCAACTGGCAGTTTAACTTTTTATGATTTATGTTCGTCAATTTTTCAGGTTAAGTTGCGTACATGTGTGAATGTTGATGTTTAGAAGTGTTAAGTTCGTTAAGTATATACCGAATTAGAATGCATTCTAATCAATTTTTCTTGAAACCATTTTAATTTCTTAACTTCTACGCCCTGTATCTCGAGAACTGAACACTTGAATACCGTATGTCCCTATTTCAGTGATTATGAAATCACGAGGGCTATCACCTGTCAAGCGTTGTCGGTCGAATTTCGCAACACCCTGTATAGAAAGAACTGAACTGCTTAACAAACTTCAGGTTGGATATCAACATAGGTTTATCCCTATGTAGTAATCAATCCAGATGAGGGCATTCTGAGGGACATCCAATTTCTTATACTGTAGAATCACCAATTACTCAACGTCAAATCGCATGAATAGTGAGAAACATGAAAGTAGGATATTCCTCACTGATACGAGAAATTGTTTCATGGTATTTCATTAAAATAAAGAAAATACTGCGCTCCAAAATTTTTGAAAAAATGTATTTTCCTCCGATTGGCAGCAAATATTAATTTTGCTGACACATATCAATCAGCAAAGTATTACTTTTCCTGCCTAGGCAGCAAAGTGGGTACTTTGCTGCCTAGGCAGCAAAGTGGTTACTTTGCTGATTGATATGTATCAGCAAAATTGAAAATCCATAAATCGTTTATAATTTCCTTCATATTTCATCCGAGACTTCTCCGGCAACAAATTCAACTCTATATTTTTTTGCCACCTTCCTTATTAATGGAGGTGTAAGTATACTTCCAGGTCACTATCACTGTCCATTATATAATAATTTAAATAAATCGATAATTTTTCGCACAACTGTCAGAAATTTCATGAATTGTCAAACCAACAACTGCGATTTCTATCAAATTTTATTTTAATTGAACACTATACAGGAAGAACAAAGAGATTGTGGGAATTGTATTATTTCGCAAATACAATATTCTGCCATATCATTATGAACAATCGAAGAAAAAATTATATGTTCAACTCGACAGCAAAGTAGATTGACTGCCTTAGCTGGATTCCTAGCCTCGCTACGCTCGGCTATGAATTCAGCCACGGCAGTCAATCTACTACTTTGCTGCCTAGTTAAACAAATAACTATTCTCATTTTTGTCAATTATGAAAATTTTGCGATCTGATTTTGTGATTGGGATATGTAACCATATGGTAACAATATGTAAAATCGTAGGAGATATCATTATCAACATAGAACTACTGCAATTGTCGTACGAAATAGTACGTTGTGAAAGTATAGTGATTTTGTTAGGCCATTTTGATGTGTTGCCCGATAAGGGGTATGAAAAATTTTGTAGCCATATGATCACTCAAACCAATAAAGGGTTAACCTAAAGTGCTCTTCATGTTCAATACAATCAACAGGATATTCTTATGCCCCAACCTCACATTCAATTTACCTGTATTCCTTCCTTTGGTTCCTTCCTAGTAATTGGGTCAGATTCAGCTCAAAATTTAATTTCAAATACCCAGGAGACTAGTAATGTTATCTTTAAAAGGAGAGAAATATTTGCTGCTCTAGACCGTCTTCTTTGTCTTTTTTTCATTGAAATAGAATATTTATTGTGAGTTTGAGATAAATCCACTTTCCACATTTTTTCAGCAAAGTATTGATTCCTACTAATTTTGATGCATTCTCGCCATCTAGACTATCAGATTCGAGCAAACCTCGATAATTCACATACAAATCTTCATCTAAAATAAATAAATCCGAGCTTCCAGCCAATGCCGATAAATACTTTGAATAGTATGACCAGTATTTGCTATATCTGTGAGTTATGCATTGAAATTTTCTGATGAATATGTGGCTGGGTTCTGAATGTTCATTTTATTTTACGAAATAGTTCAATATTTTTGTTATTACGAACTCGAGATGACTCTGACTAAAATTAAAAATTCGCATGTTCATGATTCTTCGAAAGGAAGGAATTCAGTCGCATTTCTGTCAGTTTTTGGCCCGGTAAGTACAATATTATTCCGTATGTGGTCAACATGATTACTACTGTTTTGATATAGAGGAAGGAGAAGCTAGGCTAGTGTATCAGAAATTATTTCAGAAAGTAGAAAGAGAAAGAGAAGAGAGTCAAGAAGCCAAGAAAAAAAAAAGATGAAGATAATCAATATGAAAAATAATGAAATTATGAAGTTTTCAGTTGTTATTACAGATATCATGATTTGAATCACTTCAGGAGGATTTGCAATCATAAGGAGCCTACGTATTGCTGTGAGAGAATTTTGGTTCCCTAAATTAAATATTTCAGAAGAATATGAAAACTGAGCAAGATACTGAACTGTGCCATTTCATGTCCTAGTAGTACAATGGTCGAAAAAACTACAGCAGGCCATTCCTGAGAGGAAGAAAAATGATTTTGAGCAAAAACGATAAATCCAATTGAAAAAAAAAATTTTTTTTCAAATGACTAATAGTTGGATCATAATATTCGGGGTTCATGGTTGATACCTACAAGTACCTGAATTTACATGAAATAATATTCGAATAATCTTGAGCCACTTCCATTTCACCTGAATTGGGATCTTGTTTTGGAGTGTTTCTTTCCTTGCCTTCCAACGTCCGCGAAATAGACGCGAACGCCGAAAGCCTCGTGGGGTATAAATGCTGAGACGCGTTTACGTTGGGTCAGGTTCGCACCAGATTGCGGTCAAGACGCTATCTGGGACAGCCCTGCACTGATGAGAACCAACAGCTCGAAACCGGTCTGCAGGTAGTCACACGTTTCTGAACCACTTAGGCGCAGCTCGGCGTTTAGGAAGGAAGCACTTCGTCTAAACGAATTATTGCATAGATTTTGGGAGGATGTAACCCAATGTTTGGCG